CCGAAGCCTCCAGGAGTTTTCCAGAGATCGTTGGTGTATGAAAAGATGGCGACACGTCCACCACACGACTCGACAATACTTGCGACAGCAGTTTTCTGCTCTTCGATACCAGGGCAGGCTGCTCCGTTGCAGGTACCGGCGGATGGCCATCCGGTCTCGAGGTTGATTGCGGTGAGACCTGGGCAGATGGCATCGGCGAGCTCGAGTTGGGAGAGGGCAAATTTACCGGCATTTTCGGCGGTGACTTGAGCGTTGAAGAATGGGTGGAGATTGGCACCGGTGATATCGACGACGGAGCAGAGAACTTCCGTGTTTTCTTGCCAGATGTTGAGGGGTTCGGTGGTGGTGATTTGACCAGTGTATCCGGAGCTCTCGAAAGATGACTTGGAGGATGTGATGAAGGCAGCAAGTTCGGCGGCGGTGGTGAAACCGGCAAAGATGGATTCGTTACCAACAACGATGAGCTCAACGAGAGACCATTGTCCCCAGGCGATAAGCTCAGTAACTTGATCGGCAGCTCCGGAACATCCAGTTTCGCTAATGTAAATACCGATGATCAACTTGAGACCAGCAATTTTAGCAGCACCACCAACGTTCTCGAGTCCTGAGCAGTCAGTGCTATAGATACGAATGGTTGAGAAACCTCTGAGGGCGATGAGAGCTACATCGACAGCAACTTCTGCGGCAGTCTTGCAAGAACCAGAGTCTTGGTATGGGGAATAAGTCATAGCCCATTGCTTGCCAGAGCTTCCTACACTACCTCCATTTCCAGAAGAGGATGAAGAAGAGGATGCGGATGGAGATGCGGCGGAAGATGCAACAACTACGGAAGATGATGGAACAACAGAAACAGCGCTTGAAGATGGAGCGACATAAACGGAGCTAGAGCTTGGGGCAACGTAGACGGAAGTTGAGGATGGGGCGACATAAACGGAGCTGGAGCTTGGGGATGCGATTGGAACCAAGACGGAAGTTGAAACCGGAGCTGGAGCCGAGGTAGCTTGGGCAGCGGTGCTAGCTGGTAATGTGGCATCGGTGAGTGTGTAGGAAGAAGAGGAGTATGGACAGAAAATAACCACGTTTGTCTCAGTGACGGTAGTAACAACTTCTGGTTGAGTGTAGATTCCTGGAGCATAGGAAGCTGGGGTTGGGTAGACCCAAACAGAAGGTTCGGTAACACTAGTGGTCAATGGAGCGATTGTGTATGTTCCTGCGGATGGGCACACATAGGTAGTGGTCAAAATCGTGCTGGTGACAACACCTTCTGAAGTCGAAACAGCAGCATATGGGCAGACGACTGTTGTGGCAGTAGTCACGATAGTAGTGACACCTCCTACAGTATAGGTTCCTGCAGATGGGAGACCAGTTGATGTGGCACCACAAACAGTGGTGGATTCGGTCAAAGTCACAGTTGTGGCTGGGATGGTGTAGACACCTGGTGTTGGGCACGTGGTTGCCAAAGGAGTGGGGACAACGGCAGGAGCAGTTGAAGAAGGTGGGGAAACTGGAGCAGATGGAACAGATGAAACTCCTTGAGCTGATGATGCTGGAGCTGATGATGCGGGAGCCGACACTGCTGGGACAGATGAAGCTGGAGCAGATGGGACACCTGCAGCAGAAGTTGCCGACGATGGTGCTGGTGCTACAATCGAACTAGAAACAATCGAAGCAGCTGTTGGAGCTGGTGGGAAGTATACTAAGATTGAATGTCAGTACATGTTCACAGAATCAATATCATCCATAAATATATGTGTATCACATACATTGAGGTTCTCCAGTAACGGTAGACCAAACGGTTGTGCAACCACATGATACCGATGACCCTGTTCCAGTTGCCATTAATCCTCTCTCATGGAAATCTTGATGACCATGACCATGTCTCCTTCCAAGATCCCTAGCATTAACACCACCTGCAATCGCAGCAGCGACTGCGAGAATTCCGGCCTTCATATTGATTATGGTAGATTATATATTGTTTATTAAAATCGACTTTTGATTGGGATGATATAACTTGAGTAGATACGTTCGTAAAAATTGCTCGTAAAGAATGCCCGCTGAAAGAGTGAAGCGGTAGATATATTTGTTCGGTGATGAAGAGACTGTAAGGATTGGCCAATGAAGGTATTCACAACTACAACAACGTCGAATGATAGGAATGAGAAAAGAAAGAGAAGAGGGAGGACAGAGGAGATAAATGAGAAGGCGGAGAAATAATATTAACAAAACGGCAAGCTAAACTAGAGGCTTGCAGGTGGATTCCAAGACTTATGACATGGGTAATGACCCCCGAAGTTGGGATGAGAGGTTGATGATTGATAGTCAGTCTAACCGGCTTTCCATGTTGTTCACCCTAGAACCGTTACCAACAGCCGATGAATCTTAAATTTTGTGTACCAAGAGACAACTCAGTAAAAGCCAAGACATTTTGATTGATTGGAAGAAAAACAATACGAAGTAAAATGGAGGAGGTACAGTACAGTAGAATAAAGGAGAAGATGATATCTTACCTATGATCCAGTAATTGTTGATATGGCTATTGTTTCCCATCTTATTTCAATCATTTCCATCTTCATATCACATCACATACAAACATGATAAATTCTCTCACCTCTCTCTCTCATCTCTCTCTCCCATCAACCAATTCCCCTTCCTCCTCTTCATCTCATCTTTTACCGCAATGTAAATGAATGCATAATTCCCAAAGCAGTAACATCAATTCATCTCATTTCCCAAAAGTCGTATTTTCCCCATCAACCTATTCTCATTTTGTGGATTGTAGGACGAATGAAGAGGATGTGCGTCAAGGATTAAGAAGAAATAGGGGAAAGTTTGAAAAGCGATCAAAATTTAAAGTTATATTACTCTAACCTCTTTTAGTACATTTTAGAGGCTAAGCCACTCCCATTTGGGTTTAGGTTATTTGGACAACGAATGATGGATAGGTAGGTATGCTCGAAATGGCTCATGTACAGATCAGAGTTATTAATCTATCAAAGTATTGAATTCTGAAATATATACAGAGCATTGGTCCGATATAGGTTGTATAAAGAAGTGGTTATTGTTAGATTGGTCCTATACATACGGTTCACCAAATCCTCCATCAAAGTTTTATGTTATGTTACTTCATCAGGCACCGGTAACAACTCTATGAGCTTCCTTTCTTCAGCCTTTATACTGTTATCCCATCATCTCATCATCCCATCTTCCCATCTTCCATCTCATATCTCATTTTTTGGCTGTCACTTCGGCAACAAGCGCAAATAGTACAACCAAACCAAACCAAACCATGCAATGCACTCTCCCACTCGCAATCCCAATCCATTCTAGCATCACCAAAAAACCCTTAATTCATATCCACTAATCCTGTACTCACCTTTTTATCTTGTTCCGACTAGCCATGCTATCAACCTTGGCGTGAACCTTAATCCCAGCCACTGGTCACCAGCCACCAATTTCATTTCATATTTACCTAGAAGGGACACAAGAAACCATCATCGTTGGTTGTATGGCACAAGAATGTTAAAGATACCAGAACCCCGACCTCATTTTACTATTCCATGTTTTTGAACCAAAAATTGAACTTGAGAAAGAAGGGAAGTTAGCCAAAGAAAGGTGTGGGGACTAAACTATCTGCCCTGTCACCCCTATGCTATTATGCTATAACAACCGTACTGGTAATCATCGGCACGATGTCCACTCATTCACCGGATTAATATTCCAACGGCCAGCCAAAGCCAAAAGCCAAACAAGTTAACAACTTAAGAAAAACAAACTAAACCGCGATCGAGACCGAGGTACATACCATGCATGCACTTGGCACCCGTGTTTTTTTGGAAATTAATGAGAGACCTTGTGTGAACTTGCTGGCGCTGAAAGAGAACATAGAGAAGTCTCGGTGTGTAAATCAGTAAGGAGACAGGAGAAAGGAGAAAGGAGGTGGTGTTAAGTTATCTTCAGGCGGCTTCGGGTTACCCGGTACTCCGTACTGTACTACTGATTGATGGCTTGCTCCACGAGAAGGAAGATCATTTATATAAATAGCTGATAGTTTGGATTCGAAATTCTGATTCATATTCGAATTCTAGATTTTTAAAGAACACAGAGAATTACGGTACATACCGACTGCTCCCTTGATTTTAATTTTTAAGAATAACTGGTATTTCGACATTTCTCATATAAACACGATTTTTCCATATCTTCTCTCGATTTTCCTTTATTTTCTCTTCCTTTTTCAATACTCAATGATTTCTCTAACTCGAGTATTCCTACCAACCAGTACATACTAGGCACATAAACACTCTCAAATTCAATAAATACGGGTAATATCAACTAATATCCTATCCATTCCTTGAGTAAACCTCCGAATTCAAACCCATTCTTCAAGCTACATCCCCCGTCCCCCATACATCTATCTCTTCCTCCCATATGTCCCTCCCATATGCGCATCCTCCTCATCTTCTAGCCCTCAATCTCCCCACTACCTCTAGTACCATATCTCCCCCATCTCTACCCCCATTCCTCCTTCCCCTCTCCGTGAATGCAATATCCTTACAAATCTTCCCAATCCTCCCTCGCCAAACCTCCTATCCTCACCCCTCCAATCTCCAATACTATACAAACAATCCCATCCCATCCCATCTAATCCGTCTAATCCATCTAATCCATCCAATTCCAATTATCAGACCCCCTACTCGAATACTATGTAATAAATAGCCTAGACTCTCGTCGTAAAAAATAAGACGTGCGTTCTAAACCAAACTAAACCAAACTAAACTAAACTAAGACTTGATGGGATGTCTAAGACCCTCCCCTTCCACTACCTAATACTACCTACTCACTCACTCATCCCCCTCATTCCGACGAATTCAACTCATAAAATGCAATACAGTTGACTTCGAAGCCAGAACTACCCATCCTCACCTCCCTCAAGATTAATGTTTAGAAGCCCACAGGCCCACGAACCCAAAAGTACATAATATCACATACACTCACACTCACAAAATTATATAATAACGCTCTATGTAATTCATTAATCAGTATCTTAGTACCTACTAATTCGGTATCCGGGCCAAAAACACCCATTCCTACAATCAAATCCCTTCCCATCGAAAGAATTTGCCAGCTCAGCTGAAATTGCAACTGGAAAGAGAACTCAAATGCAAAGTAGAGAAAGAGCAAGGAAGCTCCACTCGCCCATCAAACTTCATCTTGTATGAAGGAAGCAAAACTCCAATCCAGATGCTATGCATGTAAAAGTGTATTTAAACTTGATGGATGAAAAAAAAAGCAAGGAAAGATACAGCAACCAAATTGCATCATGGTCAAGAACGATTAACGCCGTGCATGTATTGCACGACGAATGTCGTCGACCCCAAACTCCTCGAAATACCAACTTGAGACGCCCCAATAACTCCAAATTCCCACCATCAATGTTATTATTATGATACTGCCGTAAACGTGCGTGTGATGCTGAAATTTGAAACTCGTTGTAATTCGGGAAACGCCATAGACCCAATCATTCAACCATAACTCCATTAACTTCGGCGTCGAAAATGACTTCCTGTGGTTTGCGAGGATCATACCATGCAACTCGTCTCTCGTCTCCTTTGCGTCCTCCAACCGTTGTCCAGACATGCTTGAGCTTCTTATCATCATAAATTTCTCGATGTCCCATCCATCTCAAGCGTGTCTTGGCTTCCATATCACTGATCCCAAGACCACCATTATGTACCCACTCTTTAACTGCACATCTGATAAATTCAATCTTTCTTCTAAAGTCATTCGCTTGAGGAAGACCTTGAATCATTGGGTCAATCTCAGGACGTTTGCGTAAGGTGGTTTTTGCTGCCCTTGATGGTTTGGCCATGAAGTTCAGAAGTGTTTGTAGCGGATAAGAGAGATGCTGTCGCTCATCGAGGGCAGTCGTCGGAAGTGTGCCCTTATCGGTGAGCTCTCGTGCACATTCGAAGGAAAGATGATAGAAATCACACCAAAAACCATCTGCTGAAAGAACAACCTTGGTATGATCCGGGAAATTGAATTGGAAATGGCCATCACTGAAGCCCCAGCAACCGACATCTCCCCATCGTTGATAGAAAGTGATAACTGTACCATTGGCAGTAGCTTCAGGGTTCTGGCCGGCTGTCCATGATTCGTAAGGATACTCGGCATCTCTACCATACGCGAACATATAGTTGCCAAACTTCTTCCACAAACAAATCTTCTCTCGTTTGCGATTATCAAACGAATCTACCCCCAGAGGTAGTCTACCGGGTCGACCTTCAGTATTTTCAGCGACTCTGTAAGTCTTTGCAGAGACTGAGCCACGAAGCATTCCTCTCTCACCCTTGCTTTCGTAGAATTCGACATTTGGACCGGAAATTGGGATGATCTGATGCCTATTTACGTATGACTTGTTGGTCCGATTCGCTAGATGTCTCTCTCCGTCACGAATAACAATACAAGACGGGGCGATGACGTTATCCTCACTTTCTGGGGAACCAGCAGGCGTTTCCCGGAAGACACAACCCACGCTTCCGTTACTGAGAATATATCCTAGCCCATATTTGTTGGTATAGTCTACCCACTTGACCACTATGGCAGGGGTCACTGGTCTAGATTTGGGAGTGGCTGCGATGGATCTGCTATTTAGAGCTCGATCTAGCTCTGCCTGGAAGCGTTGTAGGCCTTCGAGTATATGATCTGGTTTGCTACCTGGTACCCACTCCAGCTTCTCCTGAGGTCCGAATAATGAAACGACATTCTTAGTAGATTGTTGCTTCTTCAGCTCTTGTGATTTTCGTTCCTCGTCAGCCTTTTGCAATTCGTCCACCAGATCAGCTGCGAGACGTCCCTCGGCTTCGGAAGATATCTGTGGAACAGATGGGATAGCCGTAATTTTAAGAATGCCACGGGGTTTGACCTCGGTAGTTGTGTTGCTGGGTGGCTCCCTATGTTTAGCTTCTTTTTGGGTTGGTCGTCGAGGGAGAGCCCCTCTGATTGAAGCAGAGTTTGATGGCTGATCTTTGACTCGTTGTTGTGCCGCAAAGCTTTGACTAGCGGCTCTTTGAGAAACTGTTCTTTGAGATACTGGCTTCTTAGCCAATGGTGCAAGGGTTGACTCCACAATGTCCGCAATGAGCGACTCCACAGCCGTACTAGATACCTCTAGCTCCGTTGCAGCTTTCTCTTCGATGCTTAGCTGATCTTGCTCTCTGACCCATTCGGCATATGGACGGTAGACAATACTCTCTGCGAGGGGCACATTAGGAGTGAGACCGGCTTTCTCTTCTAAAGCACACTCTTTGTAAAGACTAGTGTACTGCTTCTTGGGAGTCCAAGGACCAACTTCGCACTTAATACATAGTTTCTTGAGGCTTCGAGCATACGGATTTGGCCTGCCAGCTTTTATAACGACTGAGGGGAATTGATCAGGCCTGGGAGGATCATCCAATAAATCGGCACTCATCTCTTCAACCTGGGGCATCCAACCACATGTGAAAAAGGGATGTTGGACAATGACATCTGGATGTGGTCGCTCTTCTGCATCCTGTAGCATGGTGGAGACCAAATCTTGAATCTCAGGTGAGATCATGTTAGCAGCAACGAAGTGCTGTGGCCAAGTGTATTCTCTTTCTTTGGCTCTTCGATAGATTTCATCAGCCGTAGCCGATTGAAAGGGTGGTTTTCCGGTAAGCATAGCAAAACTGGTTTGGGTCAGAACTGAATACTTATATACTAGGACATGATTTTGACTCACATAATGATACCCAAGCTCCATATATCAACCGCATGATCATGTCCACCGTTATTTTTGGATAAAATTTCAGGGGCAATATAATTGGGTGTTCCGCACAAAGTTGTCCTTCGACATGCGGCCATATCCTTATTCGACATGAGCAATGCTGCGAGACCAAAGTCACCAATCTTGACATTCATGTCCTTGTCTAAGAATATGTTTCCCATCTTCAAATCACGGTGTATAATGCCTCTCGCATGCATGTATTTGACAGCACCAGCGATTTGAACAGTGAAGAAACGAACTTCCGGCTCCGTGAGATATTTCCTCTTCTTAACCATATCCATCAACGAGGCGTTAGGGCAGAGCTCCATTGCGATATAGGTGCATTGGTCGTGTGAAAATGCTCGGTGGAATCGAACAATATTTGGATGATTCATTTTCGAATGAATTTGAAGCTCGGTTTGAAACTAGCATATGGGCTTAGTTTATGATATTATGGCTGGGGGTCACTGGACTAACCTTTTGCTCCATTTTCTTCTGTGACATATGACTTTTGACAATCTTCAGGGCATACTTCTTCCTTGTCCCTTTAAGTTGACCTTCATAACAAATGGCAAATCCACCTTTTCCAAGGCAACGGCCAGTCTTATATATGGAACCATTCTTTCGGTCTGAACATGGTGGTTCTGGTACCTCACTAGGCGGTGGTGGTGGGTGATCCTTTTCTCTTGCTAGCTTGGCTGGGGGAGGTGCTTTCTGCATAACTGATTTCGTACGAATATTCGCATTGACATCTCTGGGTGATAGTGCCTCCATTTCTTCGTTGCAAGGAAATTCTTGTTCCCAGATGAGGTAACGGTGAATGCTTTCGATAGCCGCTTTCGTAAACTTTTCGTAAGTTTGTCCGTTGAATTTGTCGTCGACCTGCGATCGTCTGAATTCGAGATCTAACTGAATGAGGTCATGAAATTTCTGCAATTCTGTGCCGTCGTGAGCGCAATAACCCTGAATAGTACGGTAGTTAGTAAAGAATAATATAGTGTGGTGATTTCTTGGTGATTTTCGGTCACAATTTGCGGGAAATTTGCTGAACTGAGAAAGAACACATCCTATGATATCTATGGTATCTATTTCGAGAGGTTGTATTTCCCATATAAGCTTGGGATAGCGAAGTTCCAGATGCCATTTGTCTTCACTTCCTGGATAATCGTATATATATTGCCCCAACATGGACCCATGTCTATGGGCAAATTCTAGAATCTGGGTCGGAGATGGTCTTTGTCGTTCTTTTGCTTCTTCTGCAAATGATAATAGTACTACTGTAATCTTTGGTGTCCAATATCTAGGTAATTGGTGGATGTTGACTTCCCCCATGGTCGATGATTGGTATAATTGTGTTGAAAGAGAATGGATACTTACAATCGGGTTTTAATTGTTTTCCGAATGCATATTCTTTCTGTTGATTAGCAATTGTTCTGTCGAAATTATCGAATGATCAAGGAGAGTGAATTGATGAGCCGATAGATCAAAGATAAGTTGTAGGAGATGAAGTTCTTTTTCTCCTTCATGGGGCTATCGGATTAATTGTAAACAGCCTTGGTAAGGCTTAGTTGATCCGGGTGGGGAACAAGCAGCTTGAATCTTTGGTTGACACAGCAACGATCTTTCTTCAAAAAATACAAAATACAAAATACCGTACTCCACCGAAATTACTCCACTGACTCTGACACTTTTAAAAACTACCAGGCTGACTAACTCAAACTCTCCAATATCACCTTGCAGTAGCTTTGATATCTGGCCGAATTTACAAAATTATGGCAAATCATTAGCAGTCGGTTATACAAATTCGACATGTCAAATTTACCTGCAATATAGAAGCACCTCCAAGAACCGGAACACTTCTATCGAATGTGTTGAATGTAAGCCGTCATTATGGTCGCACTTCCTCTATTCAAGCTAGGGTCTCTCTTCGTGAGGCATATCTCTAAGTATGGTGCAGTATGTATCAAGCTACAAAGTACATTGCGAGGACGCAAGCTAACCTCTGCAGAATTGGCTTAAGAGGCAGGCCCACGAACACGAGAGATTCCGAGCTATAGCGGTCAGAGGTGGACAGGCAATGCATCAATGGAACATGCGGATACAAGTGAACCTACTACGGGACAAAGAAGCCGAAAAGAAAGCGAAGGAAAAGGCTGGGACCCCTACTGTGAAGACAGAAGAACAGACCAAGGTGGAAGAGGCTGCAAAGAAGGCACACCATTACAACCAAGAAAATATCAGCGTTTGGAGACGGAGGTTCAGGCCCTTGACGGAAACTAGAGCAGTTGATCTATTTGCCGATGTTGTCGGCGATACATTTATTCTCACTGTCGCAATAAGCTTATTAATGTACGAGTATATCAGAGCACAATCGAAACCCGATACGAACGCTGAAAAGCTGGCAGATCTACAAAGGCTCGAGGAAGAATTAAACTTACGGCAGAAAGAGTTAGAAGAAGCACAGAAAAGGCAACAAGAGCGACTAGAAGTACTAGAACAAGTCTTGGAGGAAATTAAAAGTGCAAATGGAAAGAAAAAGCTGGCATGGAGATCTTGAATCTCCGGTCGAAGTGTAGATCACAACTGTACAAATGTGCAGACTTTATTCCTTTGCCGATAGCACTTGGAAGTACCTGGGTATATAGGTTATCCTCTTGGCAGAAGTACGTGTGTGTACATAGTGGGAAGTAGGTAGGAAAGCCCTCTCTAGCCGCACTCGCTTCCTATAGAGACAAGCAAAGAATACTCCTCGAGTATGCCATACCATCAAGGGGAGGGTATTGATAAGGTGGGAGGGATGGGACTCAAGGACACCAAACCCATCTCATCTTCGTCAGGTGATATAAAGGTCGAGACATTTTGAGATATAGTCCAACTCATCAAATGTGAAATATACCAAGTATTGTGTAGTTTTTTCTCCTTTTTGAGAAACCATCTCTCATGCATTGAATTGAAATTCAGAATTTCGTAGGTCGCAGTCCCCAAGGCATCTCAATATGGCACTAAGAAAGGCTTCCACCATCCCGTATACGCAACACTTCACCCTAGGTAATTATCGAATGCAAAGAATATCAAAAAATCATGTTCTGTTCGTCACTACGCAAAAGACAAGAATGGGCTACGTTACCTTCCACATTAGTAATGGAAAAGATGCCAAAATGGCGAGGTCGGGTTTCTAGAAAACAGCCCTCAGCTTGCAATACTGACAACCATACAGAGGGAGCCATCAACACTCATGATCTATCACTTCCCATCCCCGTAAGCAAAGAAGGCGAACATGGGGTTTGTCGTATGCTCTTGCTTTCTCCATCTGATATGGAACCACCCGCAAACGCATCCGCTCGAATCGAAAGACTCTATCACCAAACTGGGGGCCGCAATGTAGGAATTATCTTCCTTCTTCACGAAAAAAAAGATAATGATAATGGGATGAAAGAATTTATGAAACTTCGAATCAGGTAAGTTACAAGAAATATATACCTACCTACATTATAGATCAACGCATCACTGACATCATTTTAGCCTCATGTCCACTTTCCAAATCCCAATTCTGCCTTTAACCTCTGTCTCACAGCTCATCGCAATGGTGCAATCATTCCAGAGACAACTTTGTATTATTCCATCCTCCTCCAAAAGAGTCGATGCTCAATATGAGCTTCTGCCCTTCTGCAATGTTGGGAAAGCCATGACGGAGCATACCAGGAATATTCTCAGTGATATCTCTCACAGCATTCCAGAACTGGCCCATACAGCTACTACGCCTGATGGCCAAGATCGGTTGAGGGAATGGCTATCAGAACCAGAACCTAATCCTGATGTGGCTGGGGATGTTATAGATTTTGTAAGAATCTCTTCAGCACGATTGCCATTTAGATAATGGGATAACTGATCTAGATGAATAGTGGAAGCAAGAATATCTCCTCGAGTGATATACCACCTATGCGAGCGATTTACCTTCCGAAATTGTCTTCGAGTGATGGCGGATTAATGGAAAGATTTGAGAAGAGAAGAGTCTAGAAATATATCTATGATGTGCTACTGAGTACGCTTGATTCATCATTCATCACAGGGGAGCCTATGAATCGAATCAGCCGCGGCAACCCTAATAGGTATTTCTTGACGCGGCTATTACAATATAAACTTCTATGACAATCAATTCTCTTGTGAGTTAGACTTTATCTTTTTTAAATAAATAATTGATTTGGCAGTGGCGACTGTGACGTAGATGTAGCACTACCCCTTATCGTGGGGCTGAGTCTATAGCTATTGATCGTCCCAATACACAAACATGATTCAAACGGATGGCGCCGACTACATGTCATGACACGCATTAGTTTTTCTTACACTACTACCTAGGTATCCATGACATTCCAAGTAAAAATAGTAAGGAATACCTAAGTACTGGGTAGGTACTAGGTAGGTAGAAATGAGATTATGAAATCCAGTTGAGCTGAGCCCCACTTCCACAGCCAAAAAGGGTTGTCTTTGAGATGTGTGGTTGAAGTGAAACCAGTAATGTGACGTCATAATAATGAGGGGTTCAAAACCACGCCATGGGACAAGCTGCAGCTGCCAACAATTCAATCTGTTTGATTGAGCTACAAAACCAGCCGACATTCCTCTCTACAATCTTTTCTTCTATATACAAACAAACAAAACAAAAATACACAAATACAACTCACAACCTTCAACGATCAACGACTACAACTACAACTACAATTATATACCATTTACCTCCTTTCAACAATCAATCAACCATACCACCGCAATCATGAAGGCATCAGGAGTACAAACTAAGATCCACTACAGAGGTACCAAGACTGATGAGGATTTCGTTATCTTCGTAGACTCTGAGGAGGATCTTAAGAAGTGGAAGGGAGATAAGAGCACACCTCTGGCACAAGTCGTTGGTTCCTTCAAGGTCTTCGTTACACACAAGTAAGCACTTCTCATACTACATTACCGCCCATTACCCCGCACTACACCTTGAGCTTTCACCCTTTTACCCCAAAGCACATTTCTACGCCGAAGTCATCCATTATACTCCATATATTCCATAGATGATCAAACTAACTTTTATGACCTTTCAGACACGGAGCTCAAGGAACTCATGATGAGGCTTCAGAGTCTCAATTAGAGAATGAGTTTGGTACCAAGGTTGACGATGAGGTTATCAAGATTATTCTGGAAAAGGGCGAGCCACAACATGCTGCTGTATGTTACATTTCCCATCTCACTACTCTACTCCGATACATGCATCTTATCAAGACACATACTGACATGATACCTCTTATAGTCAATGGAGAAGACCGGTGCCAAGAACGATAGTATGGGTTCAATGAGTGCTCACTAGAGTATTCACATGGGAGTTAGCGAATGGCAGGCACGGTTAGGCATGGATGGGAAAGGACGGGATGGTTTATGAAGGAAATGACATTACAATATTTGCATACATGCATGCATGGCATGGCATGACATACACTTTTTGCTGGAGATATGGATTGATACCTTTGTGGAAGGGAAGACAACGCAAAACGCCATGAATTTGATGAGTTGAGATGTTATACCAAATATCTAGCTAGAAAACTGGTATTAGACACTAGATCACCACCTAGTAGCTAGATATGAATTCTCAATAAAAAAAAAGTAAACTCCATTGATGTGTATACGATGTGTGATATAAAAAGCTTTTGAGGTATGGGAAGTTGGTTCAAGAAATTCTGATTAAGAACCTAAGATGAGCTTTGTGATGAACTTCACATATCTTGGATTCTATCTATATTATTACCTAGTAGGTATACTCGTAGGTATAGATAGGTATACTAAGTATGTATAAATATAATCTTCCCTTCTCTTCTCTTCTCTTCTTTTCCCTTCACTTCACTTCACTTCACTCCACTTCCCTACAGGTATCAACAGTAATCACTAGAAAATGATAGATATGAACCGAAAAGGAAGATGAACATGAACATGGACATTGAGAGAAAAAATTTCGGAAATTTCGGTTGTTAAAAAAAAAATGACATTCTATTCATTTCAAATTTCAAGGTGTATAGAGTTTTGAGATGGGTTGAGATGAGTTGATATGAGATGAGATACTCAAGTACATTACTTTTTTGTAATTATCAGCCAGGCCAACGACTACTAATTGATTGCGAGATATTTTTGATGGTTTGTAGATTGCATATTGATGATTTATTATTAACACGAAAGAGAGAGAGAGAGAGACAACAAACAATATATCGAGTTCAAAAAAATGAGTTCAAAAATTGACTATCTATCCAGGTAGTCAAGTTCGAGTCAAGTTCTAGTAGTGAGGTAAGTTTGAACCCAACCATCATTCCCACTCATCACCCATCATCCATTATCCGCACCCCCAGATTAAACGCCGGTCGCTGATGCATAACCAAATTCCCCCCTAGAAACTCCACCCTGAATATGCAACCCCCCCCGTCTTTGTCTTTGCAGTTGGGTGACTGAGAAAATCGAAGAAATCGTCGTCGTCATTCATATTCATATTCATATTCATATATGCCCATACCAATTGCGATGCCCCAACCCTTGATGCTGTTTTTCCTACCCTTTGTCTGTTCTGTTCTGTTCTGTTCTAATATGATATGATATGATATGACGGGTATTTCGAGCGCGCCTCTAAAAATCCAATCTAAACCTTGCCCGTAGTAGATCTTCGCGGAGGAAGTTTCCACACACCCGCAATCACTTCTCCTTCGCTATAAGCCCAAAAATACACCGCCAACGCGATCGTGTAATAGATGGCCGGATTGGTAGCTTGATATAGGAGTGCGGCGGCCAGGGCCGTCAGGGGGAGAACGACAAGTCGAGCCTCGATGCTGCGGTGGAAGGCGGTGCCGACGAAGAATCCGAGGGGCCACTCCCAGGCTAGCATGAAGAGTCCGAAGAGCAAGTTGATGATCTGGAGGATGGGGAGCGGTTTGACGGCTCCGTCGAGGTTTTTGGTGAGAAAGTCCCAGAAGATCTTGGGCCAGAAGAATCCTTCGATTGCGGCGGCTACTTGGTCTAGAGGGAGAGGATTAGCTTTTTGTGTATATATCGAATCAATATTGTTAAATACTCACAAATGGCGGCGGTCAGGACTATTAGACGTGCCCAATGATTCTTGATGAGTCTTCCCATTATATCTTTTAAGAAAAAAGTGTCAAGATATCATGAAAGAGCTCTTAGATATCAAATCGTAAGGTAGAGGAGATAAGAAATGGGTATCGTAGATACGGTTCGCCCGACCGGTTTAAAAAAAAGTCTTGATAATAAAAAGTATCCGAGCCAGCGGACAGTGAATAACGAAAGTAAATTGCGTCGACCGAAAGGAATGCTATCGACGACAATGAGTGCACAGCGCTGTTGTCAAAAGAATCGTTGATAGCGAGGCGTATCTCTACCTATATCCCCCGGGCACCAGGACCGTAATCACTGGGCTGGAGATGACGATCTCCTGGGTAGCTTGTATCAGACTTGGGACACCGGGACGAGATGACGGAATGTCTAAGGTTTGGTTTGAAGGGAAGAGCCCTAGAGATGATTATCTGATCTTTTCTGACAGCGGGCATCCGAGCGGCGGGGGGAATGATTATGCGTAGAAGTCTAGAAGAGCTGAGATGAAGCCGTTGTATGGAAGACCCAGTAACCGTTGCATTGGCATTCAAGACATTGAAGGGTTCGGACGTGCTCTGATCCGTGCTATGGATCTGATGAGTTGGGATGTTTGAGGCAATCTAGTAAAATTGGGGTATCGAATCTGTTGGATCTTCGGAATTATGATACGTCTAAGTGTGTCAAGGCAGGTCGTGGAAAAATCTGTCAAAATCGTTGCCAGACCTGCGGGTTGACAGGTTTAAGAATCAACAGGGAAAGAGAGAGAGAGGGTGTCATGAGCGGGGGAGGGAGGGGACGGGGGGTGAATAAGTGAAGTAACGAAAAATCTACCTGTGCACTGCACTGCGCTTTTCGGTCTTTGGTCGCCCATGATATCTACATCTTGGATCTGCAGCCACTGCCAGCCAGGAACGGGATTGAGATGCACGATTGGGGCACTTATGACCCCAAAGGCCCAAGGATCTTAGTTACGGGTCCTTTGAGCAATTTTTTTTTAAATCAAGAAATGATTATTCCCCATTTTAGAATAGTTAGGTAAATTCAATAGATCCAATAGATCCCATTGAGGTTGCACATGAACATCGTACTGGCCAGAGATATATAATATTGTTGGCGTTGGCGGTAAACATGATAATTATTGGATATGAATTCATGGTGTACTAGGAAAGAATTGAACAGAGTGGTTAATGATTGGATTCATTGATAAAAGTTGTCGGCGCTTAGAGGTGCAGTAGTGGCTGTGAACAGGGGTACGAGGCTATAAAGGTTATTAACAAGGATGATTTGCATTTATCTCTCCGAGTCATCTCTTTTTTTTTATTTATATACTACACAGAGTGACAGCAGAAGAAGTGAAGTCGTTGCTAATGCAATGTGATGTGGGTCACATATTAATAGGAAAAAATTTAGTCAATTTGTATGGGAATCGACAAGGAATCATGCACAGAGTAGAATCGTAACCCTGGTATATATGCAAGGTACAAAATCTATCAAGGGGTTTACTGACTGACGGGCATTGGCAATTGTGTACTATGAGCCAATAGAACAGTTCTTCAATATTTAGTGTTGAGATCAGGGATTGGACCCATTATAGGAAGGAAGGTTAGATGTACTCGAGTAAAACCAATCGAGGACTTAATACATGATGATGTATATATGACTTACATATCATTTCAAATACTTTGTATATTCATTGTCGACGTCTCACTACTCATATCATGGCTCATGGCTCATAGCCCTTGGTCCTTGGCTTGTATGTACATATGTGTACCTAGTATATACCAGCATATGATACTTAAGTACCATTGACTCGTACCATTAACCAAGGATATGTACCTATAAGTAGATACTACCTACCTAGGCCATCTCGTCGGTTCGATATTCCAAAAATATAAGGAAGGACCTTGAGAAACCATCCGAAAACAAGCCTTCCGTCTCATCACTGATTGATAGCCACATTGATGACATTCAGATCCATCTCATGTTGTACCGGTAGATGTTATTTTTTGCATGAATGTACACCAGGTACAGGTAAGCCCGGTCCAAGAGACCCAAATCATATCTGCCATCCGATATTTGAGTGAGAATAGAATAGAATAGAATATAGAATATAGAATATAGAATATAACCGCTATATCTTGAGACGAAACGTGACGAGACGAGACGAGACGGAGAAGGAGAACGAGGGGCTCTGACAATTATGGCCGGGCTTATTATTTTATTGGGTTGGTCTCCGGGTCTTCTAAACAATTGATGTCGCAGAGATGATTAGATACATTTTTTTTCTTTTCTTTTTTCAGTTGGGGTAACACCGACTCGGAGGAAGATGTTAGTTAGATGTTACTGTAACTATTTTAGATAAATCGAACATTCCATTCCTTATTCTTGATTGGTTCTTGATTTGCTCTTAAATCTTAATTGTTTTCCTTTCCTCCCTTATCTTCTTGAAGTTCTCTCAGATCTATCTTTTCATCAATTTCTTTAAGATAGGGTAGAGTATATTTTATCGAGACTAGCACTTACAGATTCCCTTGGCCATATTCATGTCATGTCGGGCACGAAAGATTGATCAGTTGATGTTCACAACGCCAAACGGGGTTCTACATTCGAGGCGGTGTGAATGAAAATGTGAAGTGATCGGGTAGACCGTATTAGTCCGTCTAATCCCCACAATGTCGCACTTGTGTGTGAAATGGATCCCTTGATTTTCATTAGTCTATGCTAAGTGACCTATGGGAAAAGCACTGTGAAGAGTAAAATATATACAAGTACTATGGTATGTAGGTACATATATCGACTTCACCAAGACTAATCGATATCATGTCAAATACCTGTCTATACACTCTGTATTATGTAGCTATACATATCTATCTATTAATAACCTAGCAGATTCGCAGTCCCTGTTACAGTAGCATCAAGCGAAGAAAAGTCTTTGCTGTTACAATTGAAGAACATTCGAATCTTTACAGTCCAATCGTTCCCTCAAGGATAACCCATAAAAGTTGATCACAGCGGAAGAGAATATCAATAGCTCACATACTAATTTTGTGACCGACAGCGAGGTTATCTCGTTATCTTAATGGCCAATCGCTTCGGCGTGAGGGAAGCCACAGAGAACATTGAAAGCACCGATGAGTCTAGGCGTTATCAAGGGTTACTGGTGAGTAGTGTGGTAGTGTGAGATTGGTTCACTCCTTCGGGTACATACACAGCACGTGGGCTAACATCAGGTGGCATATATTTCCTGCACCTCTTTCACATTTGCACATCTCTCTTACTTCGTACTAATGATTACATTACGGATTGGAGAGTATGAGTCTATCCAGGACCACTTCTCTTCGATCCATTAGATGACAACTCTTTTGGGGAAATCATTGATGATACTCTACAGGTCTCGTAAGGAGCTGGGCAAATGTTGCTCTGAATACTCCATCCATAAGACTTTATTCGATATACAAGTACATAGTACATACCCTTATATTTTCCTCGTTTTGGATGAACCGTTAAGATTACTATCAGCCATGCCAAAAGACAACGATCATGAGTGGGCCATGGCGGAGCGATTAGATGTCTCTCATTCCGAAGCAGTCACCCAATACCTATACATATATAGGGCTAAAAGTATCATTTCATGACACCCCAAATATCATACCGTTTTGCTTCATGGTGGCTGTTCTTCAGCGCTACACTACTCCTGAATATCGGAATGACATTGAAATAACCAACAGCCTAAAGCCCGACCGGTACTTTTCTATACGACGTAGCAATCCGAATTCTTCCAAAACAAGGATATGGAAAGGGTGGTTGGATTCGGAGTACAGAGTCTGGATAAATAACGGGCTTGCCGAAGTATGCGGATTTATTTGTAAAGTACTCGAGTTGAGTATGGTATCACGGCTTTCTCTCGATGTTTTACTCTACAGTACGACGGCTAATTAATTGATCATCTCGAAATCTGTACGACAAACTAAACATCCTTTCTCCAGGTTACATTGATGGTCACCAAAATCAAACTATCAAGACATGATGACTGTTTGTTCTAATACTTTATCTTATCTCGATGATCTATCTATAAACTCAATGTTAGTCTAGCTTTTATTTGAGCACTACTGTACCGCACAATGCAAGTTGCACGCACGCACGCAGTCATAACCTTTTGTTTCTTCATCGAGTTGGGTGGATATGTGTGGAGCGCAGTCTGGAGTAGTGCAGTAGTCCTGCATAACTCTAATATACTTAGGGAATGATAATCGAATCACTTACTGTATTGGTTCCCAAATGTTGGAACGGTACGCGCGCGATTGGCGACGATTAATGAAAGCATTTTTCTAAAAGGGCTTTAATTGGTACTGAAGACTGAAGTACATAATGCATTCTCTCTACGCAAGTACAGAAGACGAGCATATTCATGGTCTTTTGTGTCTTCAATTTAGGTTCATCCAATCAGTAATATCAGTTCACGCGGCTATTTGCCATTAAAACCAACACATTTCTTGCCCGTTAGCCGCCAAAGTATAGTATGTTCTTTGATTTCTTATACGCCATACTACTCGAGTATTTACCTTGTATCACACAAATGAAAGTCGTTAAATTTATGCCTTTGTTGGAGCGATACATCCCCAACTTTTATTAAGATTCCCTGATTCGACCATTATTTAGGCGCCCCGACCATACCATAACTCGAAGAGTTTTCCACCTTCTCATCACAGTATCCACGTACTTGTGAATTTTCCCGGTTTGTATATATCCCCTAGCCAGCAGACTGTCTTCTTCGACGAATCGTTTGATCCCTCTCTACTCTATATCTTTTCCCTTCTCTTCTCACCAATGGGTTGCAAGTACTGTATATTCCATCTTCAATATCTCCAATCCGCAATTTTCTCAACCAACTTGATCGACTATCAAAACCCAACGATAAAAGCAAAAACTCAAAAGAACCCATCGTCAAGGAATATCATCATGATTGGACCAATCCAAAAAGTCAGACAACCTACACACATCTACCCATCTACCCCCGCTCGATC